TATCATTTTAATTTTTCTCTCTCTTTATTTTGTAAGTCAATCTTTTTAATTTTGAAATATTGAGTTGTTACGATGCATTGACGTCAGACATTTTCATACTTGTATCTAATTGCTTGCGGTATGACGTAAGTAATTCCGATGATGTACAACGCTTTTAAGTCAATTTTATTTGCCGGAAGCCGCTAGAATCATCAAATATTCTTGCACTCGTCGATTGATGCGCACACAATCATCACCTTTTATCGATCCCTTTTAATGCCCGTCAAACTTAAATATGCAATAAATTGCTCAAGCGTTTTCTTATAGTGGCATTCTATTTCCACGTATACTCTATAGTTCTTACTTCCGACATTATCGTATGTGTGTAAAACCCATGTGTATAAAACTCTTAATAATTATATATTATATTTAACATTCATGTGTGTAAAATATTTAAAACGTGCTTTTGTTTTAAAATCTTCCATAATTGGTAATCATTATTAATCATGAAAATATTTCCCAAATGGAAAAACAAGAAAGTTATACAAGTTGTCTCAAAATTAAACATCAAAACTTCGGGAGCGTATGGAGGATCGATAAACTAAGGAAAGAAGTTCTTTAGAGATTTGCTCGTTTTTTCTTCGTTTTGAAGAAAATCGCAAAAAAAGAAATAAAAAATTTTCACCAAAGAACTTAAAACAATACTAAAATTATTAAGTTCATTGAAAAATACCATAAGATAAAAGTTGTAAAGCATAAAATTACGAAAAGAGAGTGAGTTGAAATCCTCCTGAAGTAAAATTAGAAGATTGTAAACAAATACGCGACAACGCGAGATTATTTACAATTCTCTAATTTTATTTCAGGAGGATTTTAACTTACTCTTTTTTTTTTAATTCCATGCTCTACAACTTTTATCTTATGGTACTCTTCGATAAACTTAATAATTTTAATGTCGTTTTAAATTCTTTGGTGAACATCTTTTGTTTCTTTTTTTGCGATTTTCTTCAAAACGAAGCAAAAGCGAGCAAATCTCTAAAGGACATCTTTTCTTAGTTTATCGATCCCTTACACGCTCCCGAAGTTTTGACATTTAATTTCGGGACGCTCTGTATATTCTAAAGATCAAGAATAATTAACGGAAATCATATATTTATATATTTTGGTATTTATTTAAATATAAATATAATAATATATATAAGATCTCTCTATAATGCAACACACAAAATCTCTCGAATTGTCAATCATAATAGTAATCAAAATATGGAAATATTATCAACTGACTTATTTTATCGTATATAATAATTTCCACAAATAAAATATATTTTGGCTTTATATAAAAAACTCATAATTAAAGTAAATATTATCAAGCATTAATACAAATAAAATTTAACTTTATATTTAAGTTTGCATAATTTTTTAGATAGAAAAAAAACATTAAAGCATATAGAATAAATAATAAACATATGTATATTTATGTGTATATATGTGTACTTAAAATCGTCATATATAGGCCATAGAATGAATAAAATGAACAAAAAACATTTCAAATACATTTATATACATTATTTTTGTCGCTTGTATTTCCACTGACTCATGAAACAAGATTTATCTATAATGTATAAATCTTGAATATATAGTGCACAATTATTCTCTATACTTTATCACGGTGCGGAAGTTTCGAATAAAAGCTCGTGCGTAAGCAATCAGGATATGATTTCAACCGCAAATTAACGGTGACAAAACGGAAAGGAGCCGGAAAACCACACTAATGGGACTTAAGTTGCATATAAATACATGTATGCTGCTATAACTATAGGAACCAGTCGTTATTAGCATTTTGATGCTGTAAGCATATACATATACGTTTCAAAGAAGAAAAATTATTCTAACACTAGTTTATTTAATCTTGTGTGTTCATCGTTAAATCAATTTACAATTTTAAAGGGCTTCAAAGATTGGATAGTGCTTGTAATAATGGCACCAACACGTTTATTTCTACTGTTTCTCGTGTCAATAATATTAATATTCGCATGTGAGGGACGGCCATTAACAATTCCTAATAGAAACCGGGTACAGATGAAATGTCCGCCAGGCTATAGGCCCATTCGTACTGGAGGATGCAGAAAAATTTTGACATTTTAAAATTTGTAACTTACGACATACATATCTCTTCTTACACGGGGTAAGTATATATTCAATAATATTTTATGAATTAGAGAATTTATATATATATTTATTTTTATTTTATTCTATTTTCTTGTCAAAAATTTATTAAAGTTCTCAATATTCTAAAAAAATAAATTAAGTGCGAGAAAACGTTACGTAAAGCTTATTAGAGTTCTAATTTTGCTACTTTTTTTCTTTAATTCGATCGTGAGTGCAACGTAAGGTGCAGAAAGAAATCAATGTGGCGTAATGTCGTGTAACAATTGTACTTTCGCGCCATCCTTGGCCATCTACCTTTTTTTCGCGTTGCTGATGTGAAGTCACTTTAAAAAGTGCCGGTCTATGTCATACCACGGGATGTAGTGTGCGTGTGCAAGCCTTACGCTTTGATATGTAAGAACCACACAAAAGTTAGCATCTGGCGCGACGTGGGAAAGGATATTCATAATATTTCATTTTATATTTCATCGCGTGTTGATCAAACGACTACACAAAAATGTGTATGCCATATGCGTAAAACTTAACGAAACTTACATTGACGAGGCAAAAGTTTTCAAGGATGGCGTCAAATAACTGTATATTGCTTTATAAAAAATTTAATTATTCTACAAATCCATTTGACAAGCCATATGTGAAGAATGATTACATAATTATCTCAAGAATAACTGTAAAAAGTAGAGATGGAGGGGGGGAGGATTAATAAGTAGTTATTAACTTATTTAATTATTATGCA